TACCACCTCAAAATTAGTCATTTGATTCGGTTTTCTAAGAATTTCGTGAAAAGTGTTGCAAGATAAGATTTGTTAATGATACTGCCGAAGGGAAAATCAGTCATGTGGAGACAAAATACACTTTTATTTTTGTAAAATTTAAATAGGACGTTTTTTAAAAGAAAAATAAATTAACTTTGTATATATATATTTTAAATCGATTACCGAAACTACTTCCTACAGAATTTAATGTAAAAATTTAGTTTTTAAGTACCTACACTGTTTAAAATATCTGTGGTGTAAAAAGTAATCTTAAAATGGTGTCAAAATCCAACACCAAGTGGTGTTAATATAAACACCATGAATTATGGTTGAAAATGTTATATACAGCAAACACCAAAACGGTGTTTATCTAAAAATATTTGAGAAGTGCACCTAAACAGAAAAAAGGAATAGTTCATTTTACTATATTAATTTAGTTGACCCATAAGTATTTATTTAAATCAACTGTGGAAAGGTTAATATAAACAAAGATTAATTGAACGGTACTAAACCAGATAGTTATTTTTTTTTTAAATTGGTTAAATTAACCCAGAAAACTTTAGTGAAACCAACCCGCTGTATGGTTCAGTTTACTAAATATGTTGTTTGTAAAATAAGAGTTACTTCAACCAAAAGCACTGGTAAAACGATTTGCCGTGCATTCCTGGTTGCATAGTGTGTACCGATCGCGGCAAAGGCGGTTTTGATCACGTGATGTTTTTAAATCTCGCCTCTGTTGACTTACATGAAGAGTATATAAGCTCAGGTAGTCCTTTGCTTTGGTGTGACACTACAAGTTGTTCGATACTAAAGAGACCTTAAATAGGTGGAAACAGCTGTCAATATTTGAAGTATTTTAAGTTGGTGGAACGCACTAAAAACATTATCTCTAGCGAGTTGAAGGTTTAATTTTCTGGAATAATACCACTGGTAATATACTAGTAATGCGTCAAGAAACTTCCTGTTTCCTTTTTTTTCCTTTTTTTCTGTGTAGTATGATTTAATTTTTCCAAAAACACATAATATTTAACAGTAAAAAGGAGTTTTACACCAGGTAAAATTTATTTTAATACTGTGTGAAAGTTAAATTTACACTATTTTAGTATTTGAATTTACACTGGATTAACGAACCATATTTAACACCATTTTGGTTTGTATCGATATAGACCATGTATGGTGTTGATTTGGTGTTAAAATGGTCATGAAATTTTGAACAGTGTACTTTCTATAAAAACGCTGGATTTTCAGATGTAATAACTAACATTTAATCTATTGCAAACAATTTTATTACATAAAATTTGTGGATGTATCCTAAAAATCAAAATATTTTGCTAGAATCTACCAAAAAAATTTTATATTGTTTGTTGATATACAGGTTGTCCCGAAAATAGTGTGCAATAGTCACAGGTGGATTATAAAGACAAAAATAGAAACAAATCTTCTTATAAAGAGAGGTCGACAAATGACATAGGGAGCTGCAGCCTTTGAAGATGGTTTTTTATTATTTCCGAAACAGTTTGAGATAAAATATTTAAATTCAAGCATACAAAATTATATTGATGTAAAGTTTTCTTACCATTTTTAAAAACCGTTGTAGATTATTGCACATTATTTTGGGGACACCCTGTATATTCTGATAATTATAATAATTAGGATAAAAGCTTTTTTAATATATTTTTTGACGTTTGTGAAAATTACCTTATTCATTTAAAACAAGTAAATTATTATTATTATTATTATTACTTCTTCTAAAAAATTTTTATTTAATACATTTTAAGAATGATTTTACTAATGATTTTAATACATTTTAAGAATGATTTTATAAAGATCAAAATCGTGTCTTTTTTTAGGATTAAAAGGTAAAAACCTCCTTTTCGACTATAGTTTTTAATTTTTAAATTAATGTTATAGTTTAAGCAAAAAAATATTCTTCGGGCTTAATTACGATATACCATATTAGACGAATCTTGTGAACACCTGAACAGTTATGTAAACAAAATCAAATTAATGTAAACACCACTTCATACATATTTAAGCATCTTTAGAGGAGTTTGTAATTATAAGCAGACGTTTTCGTTTCCTAGATAGTAATTTAGACTCACTATTCAACTTAAGTGATAAACTACTACGGTTGAGAATGAGTTATCCACAGAATATTAAGTTGTATTGCTTGCAGATTTACATCTCGAGCCTGGAGGATTAAGAATTAGATAATTTCGTTTGCAGCAAAAGTTTTAATTGGCAAATGAACCAACACAAACCTTAATTAAAACAAACTATATCGAATTTGGGATTGCATATGGGACAGAATCATGGAGGTGGAAAATTTCATTAATGTTTATAACTTTGGACTCTGGTTTATTGATATAAGTTCAAACTTAATGTTTTAAGACCTTAGTGGTCGCTTGGAGAAAAATTGTAATTTATTATGCATTTTTTACAATAAAAAAGCGAAGATTTGTTTGGCTTTGAAGTAGAATTGGTTACTAAACTAATTACTATTATTTTATTGGAACATCGCACAGTGGTCTGAGAGGTAAATTTACCCGGCAAAAATTATTCTTTAAATATTTTTCCCAAGACGTGTGTTTTTCATGTTTTTAAGGGTGATAAATTTACTTCTTATATAAATTTTATTCAAAAATATTTGGTATTGTATTTTTTTTATGTTTTATATTTAATAATTTATTTATTAAATAAATAAATGTTTATAGTTCGTACCAGGGGGCGATCGCCAATGTTGGCGATTGCAACATGGCGCAAGCATAATTTTTTATCATGAATAATCGAAAAACCATTACCTTTCAAAGTATCAAAAATATATTATTATATCAACATTTTACATTTTATCATATTTCTTTTTAACAACCCTTTAGCCAATATCGTGATGGTTGACAATACATTTTTAATTAATTAATGTCCAGGGTGCTCAGGAAATAAAAAAACAGCAAAGTGATTTAAAAGGGTAGTACAATAAATATTGTTCTATAGGAATCTCATTTTTAAAACAAGCATGAGTGTTTAACGCATAATAAAAATAATAAGTTTTCCTATAGTGTAAGGTGCAATATAAGTGACATTTTTGTGCATTGGGTCTAAATTTCTTCATAAAATAGTTTTAACTAATCAGCATTTATTAAAAAAATCTAACTTCTCTATTATGAAATAAGAATATCTGTATCAAAGGTAGGTTAATGTATTAGAACAAAAAATATCATCTAATTTTGTATTTTAAGGTTAGAAAAATCTATTTTGACCAAAATAAATAAGTGGATTATTTGAAAAAATGTGTTAATATAGTTATAAATAAATATAGGTATACTAAATAATTGTTGAATGTAGTTCAAATTAAATTGAACCTTTTATACTTCTAACGACAAAACTTGTGCATACATCTCGGCATAGTTACTTTAAGTTAGATTATAAGAAAACAAACAATTTTTAGAGAAACTTGCTATGTGAAAATATTTAATACTCCCATGACATGTAATTTATTAAAATTTTTAAAGTTATAATGATTTTTTGATGTAGATCAAATTCAGTCGAAGCTTTTTAACTATTTGTATTGACAAAACTTTATGTAGGTACACTTTAAGCTGGATAAGAAAAACTACCACATTTTTAAATACCATATTGTATAATATATATTATACAGTCTTTTAAATAATCCAAAATACTTATTTATTTTGGTCAAAATAAATTTTTCTAACCTTAAAATTACAAAATTAGATGATATTTTTGCTATAATATTTTAACCTACCTTTAATACAGATATTCTTATTCCATAATAGAAAAGATAGATTTTTTTAAATAAATGCTGTTTAGTTAAAATTATTTTATGGAGAAAACCAGATATTTGGACCAAATGCACAAAAATATTAGTTAATTGGCACCATACACTTTAGAATTTCATTAAATGCAGTATTTATATTCTTAAATTCTTAAACCCTCCATTGTTATTCTAATGTTATAAAGATTTATACATTTTTAACGCCTAAACATAATATTATTTCTTTCGTTGACTATACTTTGACAGATACATAACCTGAAAAGCCTTAAATGCCAAATTTTCAAAAGACTGCATTCCGTACGTGGTCACGTGGTGGGACTTTGAGGTGTGGAGCATAGTACCTATTTGTTATAAAGTAACGCATACGCAGTAAATTCTACTTGGCAGTTTAAAATCTTAGTTAATAATCTGTCACGAACAATAAGAGGCATCAAAATGCGTTTTTTATACTATCTTACTAGAAAACTTAATTTTCCACCCCCGAGCGAGGGAGGAAAATGCCTCTTTTCCTCCCCGGGAGGAAAAAAAATTTCCTCCCTCTCTTTTTTGAACAATTTTACATAAGCAAGAGTTTTTGTACCTTGTCTATCCCTATTTGATTTTGTATTTTCATATCGCTCTTTCGATTTTTAAGGAAATATTCTTGCCTTTTTAGCAAGATCTTGCGGCAGGTCTTCTTCGCTAGAACTCATTTTCAAACCGTAGGAAGAATTTCAAATTTATGATAAACATTCTGACAGATTATAAAAACTGTTATGTTTGTATTTCCAAAAATACCATAGCAACAAAGCGTTGTCAACATAACGTTGTCAACGCAACAACTACTTAATATTTTGTCATAATTTTATAGCCCCATAGCAGGTTAGTAAAAGGAACCGGAACGTTTAAAATGCCTTAAAACCGTTAAAAGGTAATAGAAAAAACTATATACATACCTCAGGAGGAAAATGCGTTTCCTTCCTTGAATATTTAATGCCCTTCGCTTCGCGTCGGGCATCAAACTATTCGCGGGAGGAAAAGCAATATTTTCCTCCTATGGTATGTAAATAGCTATTTAAAGTGTTTTAAAAATTGGATTTTTGCCGCATAAATTTGCTTCTCAGACCACTGTGCTTCGTGTCAAAATCTTAAACACAATAAATTTTAAACTCAAAAATAACTTAAAATTTTCAGTTATATGTAATAGTTTATGTTTGTTACAGTGAGGCCCAAATCGGTGAGAATTCTTGGCAACGATGGCGTGTCGATCAAGAATTCTTCAGTGATTGGCCCGAAGGACGAAGGCACCGAAATCGATTTAATTTGCGAGGCGATAGGCGGAAAGCCCACACCGAAAGTGAAATGGTACAACGGAACCAAGGAAATAACTAGAGGTAAGTTGTATTAATAACCTGCAACATGCAACAAAAAATATTAAAGTTAAATTAGGTCTTTTGGGGTGAAGTTTAAAATAAATTTTGTTTAAAGTCTGAAAGGAAATAATTTACGTGCTTAGTTTTACTTTGGCGTTTTTAACTTTACAAAGTTGTTTATATTAATACTTTAAACCCAAGTCGAAAACTTCGACTATTTATCTTTTTACTTTAATTTGGTTTCGATTTGGCTATGTCAATTTGTTAATTAGTTATTTTGCGAAAAGTTAAAGTAAATGTAATTTAAATAAATCAAATACTAAAACATATTGACTAATTATGACATAATTGACTTGGTTCTTTGTTTAGTTAAAAAGATTACTCTACTACCACTGAGTCAAACCACGTCAAATGTGCCAATGAACTTTTAAAAATCTCTAGGTAATAATTAAACAAAAAACAGTTTATTTCGAAATTTTTATTATTTTTTTACGACAGTTGTGACATGTCACAGTCAAAGGGACAAGATAAATCTTTTTTTACGACAAATACTTATTATGATTTAAATAAAATATTTGTATAGATTGTTATCTATAAAACAATTCTTGGGAATCTGTATAACCGACGCGCCGGTGAAAATGTAAAATTTTTATGTGTAAACTGAAATGTATCCCTTGAAAATGGACAATTTAAATCCGATATAGAAGCAGTTTTTCACAGTGAAAGTAAAGAAAATGTTTTATGGGCACTCCACGGTGGAGTCTCCACCCAAAATTAAGTTTAATCTAGTTTTCTACCAACAAAATTAAAAGTACAATGTTTATACAGGGTGTTATGTAATTAATGTTATATATTAAAATGGGTTGTTCCTTAGGGTCCATAAAGAAGCACCTGAAACTTTTTTTTTCTAAATTCCAAAGTCTAAAAATAATTTATAATAATCTTTATCCTACCAAAAAGTACGCCACTGATCGACTAGGCTAATCTGGTTGCCTAGTTTAATTTGTTATTTTATGGTTGGTAACCCTGGTTGGTACCAACAGCGTTTCCAAATTCTGTCAAAAAAGTTGACAAACATTGTTTAAATTTAGCTTAATTACAAAAATGACAAAATAAACAATGCAAATTGTCAATTTGGCGTTTTTATTAATTGTTGGTTATGACATTTTTGCACTGAAGGTAAATTCAAAAAAAATCTGACAACTTTTATGACCGAATCTAGTGCATTTCTTTCAAATTTTAGGTCATGAGCTCAAATTGTAAATATCTTAACTAAGGGAAGTGCTTTTGGATTTATTTACAGAAATTAAATGTTTAAAGTTTAACCTGTGAACTGGTCCCAAGTTCATCTAATTAAACAGAAAGAAAAAAACCGTGGAAAAAATTAATTTTGTGGTTATGGATTTTTTTAAAATAATAGGTACCTACTACATTTTCTAATCATTGCTTAAGCTAATAGCTGGATGAGTAAATAAATACAAAAGGGTATTAGAGCTTTAAGGGCATAAAACTTTTGTATTTATTGAGTTCTTATTGCAAAAAAAATTTTTAGTAACAATTTTTTACATCTGGCAACGCGCAGCTACTTTGTTGGTTGGTATCTATGTACTCACAAAACACAAGTGTGCAGAGATAAACCAAGTGTGTAAACAGTGGCGTATCACAAAAAAATAAAAAACTTCTAATTCATATTTTTTCTTTATCTTTGGAAAAATATTTTTTTTTAATATTTTTCCTTTATTCCTTATGTCAAAAGGTATTCAGTATTTTAATATTTAACATAAATTACATAACACCCTGTATAAAATTTTCAAATATTGGCGTTACGACACTATTTAATACTTTTGTATTTTTGTATTGAGATAATAAAATAATTTTTGCATTTAGTATTATTTTACAAGAAGGGCACTTTATTTGAAGGATTGTGTGACATTTGACAACTGTCCGTGATTAAAAACCTGTTGCTAACTTCAGCCCTAAAACGCCATAGAGCCACAACTTGTCAATATGTTTTTAAAAGGTTACTTAGTGTCATGGAAACATGTACGATAATGGGCGTTTTAAAGGTGGGAGTAGTTTAGTTATTATCAACAGATTTATGCAATTATCGTTAGTTTAATAAAAACAATAAAAAATCATTGACACATTTAACGTAGTTTGACTCCACTGCTATTTCTCCTTCTACAGATGCGGTTCTCAAATTTAGAAAAAGAGTCAAAGTATTGTTATCTGATATTTTACGTACAAGATTTACTAGCTATTTAAGAAATAAATGACAATTAAAAAAAATTAGTACAGGAAGAATGAAGTACAGGAAGAATAATAAAAAGTACAAGTACAAGTATTTGTAGCTAAGCAGGGCCAGATTCAGGATTGTGGGGGCCAGGGGTAATACAAAAAGTGAAGGCCCTTTTAATCGATAAATATCTTTCAATAATTTTATTTTTAGATTTAAAAAACAAATTGCCATTATACATACTTACCTACCATTTTTTGTAATTTAAAAAAAATCGTTATCACTTTATAACGTGTGATGAGCAATGGAGGCAAAATAATTAATGATTTCTTCGAAGTGAATTTATCGAAGCATATCACTCTGTAGCTATTTTTAATAATTTTTATTTTAGAAAATGAACCCTCCCCTTCCTGCTACAAGAAGCCACTTAAAGCATTATCAATGTAATTTCAATACTAGAAAATGCAGTGCCGAAATTAATATCAACCAGAAAAGCATATCTTTTGGGTTACTGTTGACATTATTGTCTTTCTTAAATTTTTAATAACTTGTCGACAGCCTTGTTTAGCTCCGATAAACTCAAATCCTCTAAACGATTAAAAATCGTTCGGAGGACGTCATAAGCTTGAATTCTATCACTCAGAGATGCTGAAAGTTAATCAATTACTGGAGTAAAACTTCCTACTCAAAATTTTTTCTTGAGTCACAGCTGGCAACCTAAGAATTTTGCATAATCCAGTGTATTGAGCTTGATGTTTCAATATATTCGTCAGTATCTTCCGCACTGCTTCTTAGTATTCCTAAAACTTTTATTTGGACGAATAATCTAAGCGATTTCATTGCTTTCACTGCAGAAGAAATAACTATTTTAGGATAGCACAACATCTTATTAGTAGCATTGAATCGCTAAAAGATGTCGTTCCAAAATCCAGCGTTCAGTACAATTAACTCTTCCTATAGGATAGATCTCCTTTAAAAGTCTAGCAGATTTGATTTTGCCGACTTTTTTCTGTTCTTGGTCAGGCGATATGCCAGCAAGGACTTTTTTTAAGCCGTAGCTAATTTTGATTAACTAATAATATTGAGTATACTAGATTGTATTGTCACTAGTAAAAGAAAGTAGGTTAAAATCGACTTTCTAGATTTGTGGACATAGTAGTTAGTTTGTTAAAAGTGAACACAGTGGTCCTCGACTAGCCATGGGTTGTATGAAAATGGCGCCAAAAAATAGATATTAGTAGGCGTGTATATCAAGGTTACAAAAACGCTGCAAGTCAAATCATAGCTGATCATCAAAATATGTTTTGTGATACTTTTATTTATGTTCACATTTGACCCTTGTTTAAAATTAATTTAAAGAATTGGCACATAATTGGAGGTCACAAAAGTTTACATATAGGTTCATTGATAAGTTGGCACTGAAATATTTGATTAACTTATCAGTTGTCAGCCTAGGTTTGGTCTAGGGTTGTGTTACTGTTTGCCTTAAAACACAAATCTAATAATTTTTGTCGGTTTTATTGTTACTTTTATGATAAAATGAACCCTACTGAAATTGTAAGCAACCATGAGCAAAATAGAAGAAAAGTTTGCGCAGAATGTGGGCGAAAAATTATTATGGGTTATACAAAATCGTCGAAATTTTGAATTACGGAATTCTAAGTTCCCAATTACAATTTCCATTGCAATACTTGTCGCCATGGTATCCCAAAATTTAAAATGTAAAATTGTCACCTGAATCCGAAAATACGGTCAAAAATTATGAAAGTGGAGCAGTTTTTGAGATATAGTCAATTCCATATTAAATGACGTCCTTAATTTACTTATTTAATAAGCGGCTGTTAATGTTAAAGAAAAAAAAAATAGATTTTCTTTGGTGTTAAACAAAATTTATTGCCAGAAAAGTCTCGTAAGTACTAGAAAAATCATAAAAATATTATAACCAATATGCAAAATATTATATTACTAGTATGCTGTTTAAAGTAGCCAACCTATAAAATAAAAATTTTGTCATTGTCATGAAGTCATTACCCATAGAGCACAAAGTCGTCCATATGGTGTCCATAGGACATCCATCTCTGTACAAATGGATATCCATAGTATGTCCAAGAATATTATATGGACGTTCCATGTACGTACATATAACGTAACTTTGGCACACTATAGGATGTCCATTAGGGTGATGCAAAAAAAATTTTTTTTTGAATTCTATGCAAGACCACTCGGGTTTTCAAAGAGTATCAAGAAAATAAAAATCTGTAAAAATTTGAGAGAAATCAATTAAAATTTAGAGGTCGCTCAACGCAATTGTTTAATTTAGAAAAATCACGCATCTCAAATGCATTGCTATAAACAAGTAGGCATATTTCATACAAATTTGAATGAAAATGGTTGAATTTTTTTTTGGTGGACTCTTAATGATTATTCTAATAAATAATGTTGTCCCGATTTCAAAAAATTTTTCATAATATTTAAAAAATATATAATAATTAGCAAATATAGCTTAGTTAACAAATAATTCATTCAATTTTTTTTTTGTTTCAAAATCTGTAAAAACATTGTTAATAGGTCTACAAGCAATTATTCATTCACAAAAACATTCGCTCCCATCGTTAAATATGAGAAAAAAAATAATATTTTAATTAACTACACTTCGCGTCAAATTTAACGCACCACTAAAAGTTTGTCACATTTTCAAAGTTGATTTTCTCGCGAACCGTCAAACCGAATTTGGTAATTTTTTTTTTAAAATTGTAGGTTTATTCTTCGGTAATAATGCGTTTATTAAAATATTTTTTTAAATTAACATTTTGAGTATATACAGGGTGCAAGAGTGATAATAAGTTTTTTCCCGGAAATTTAAAACGCCCTGTGGATTGTACCAGCTATAACAGCTTATGTATCTTATAATCAAACTATAGCCACATCTTCTCTTAACATTTTGTTTTTTGATTCACCGCGTTATCTTTATTTTTAAATGAAATATACAGTTAAAGATTAAAGAACTCCAGTTTAATACAAAAATGTAAAAAGAACGATTGTAACAATAACAACAAAAATATTAACAAAATCAATAAAACCAACATTAAAGAATATCAATATCGCGTATTTCTGCCTCTACTTCTAATTACGGCTTCACATCGACGGCTCACACTCGAAACCTGATGTCTAATCTCGTCTTGATCAATGACATTTCATATTTGAGGGGTCTAGATGCAAAACCCGCCATCTCCATTTATTGAAAGTAAAGGACAGAAGACATGTTTCCATAACAACATAATTAATATGTATTGCAAACATATCTACTGTCCTTTACTTTCAATAAATGGATTTGGCGGGTTTTGAATCTATACCACTCATTTCTCGTAGCATATTTGCTACGTCATCAAGGGAGGCAGGCAAGGAATCATGATTTCTTAGTCGTCTATCCATATTATCCCACAAATGCTCGATGGTGTTGAGATCCGGACTATTTGCAGGCCAGTCTAAAGTTTTAACACCCACCTCATGTAAGTACTCTTGCACTATAGAGCATTATCCTGCATCAGTAAAAAATTATTACCGGGCGAAAGGGAGAACATGCTCAAATAAAATGTCCTCGATATATCGTACACTATTCATGGTACCTTAATCTTTAAATGTATATTTCATTTAAAAATAAAGATAACCCGGTGAATAAAAATACAAAATGTTAAGAGAACATGGGGCTATAGTTTGATTGTAAGAGACATATGCTGTTATAGCTGGTACAACCAACAGGGCGTTTCAAATTTCTGGAAAAAAACTAATTATTACACTTGCACCCTATATATACTCAAAATGTTAATTTAAACAAATATTTTAATAAACGCATTATTACCGAAGAATAAACCTACAATTTATTATAAAAATCACTAAATTCGGTTTGACGGTTATATATGTATATACTCAAAACTTAAATTTAAAAGAATTTTTTAATAAAGGCATCATAACCAAAGAATAAACCTCAATTTTAAAACAAAAATTACCAAATTCGGTTTGACGGTTCGCGAGAAAATCAACTTTGAAAATGTGACAAACTTTTAGTGGTGCGTTAAATTTGACGCGAAGTGTAGTTAATTAAAATATTATTTTTTTTCTCATATTTAACGATGGGGGCGAGTGTTTTTGTGAATGAATAATTGCTTGTAGACCTATTAACAATGTTTTTACAGATTTTGAAACAAAAAAAACATTGAATGAATTATTTGTTAACTAAGCTATATTTGCTAATTAATATTTATTTTTTAAATATTATGAAAATTTTTTTGAAATCGGGACAACATTATTTATTAGAATAATCATTAAGAGTCCACCAAAAAAAAATTCAACCATTTTCATTCAAATTTGTATGAAATATGCCTACTTGTTTATAGCAATGCATTTGAGATGCGTGATTTTTCTAAATTAAACAATTGCCTTGAGCGACCTCTAAATTTTAATTGATTTCTCTCAAATTTTTACAGATTTTTATTTTCTTGATACTCTTTGAAAACCCGAGTGGTCTCGCATAGAATTCAAAAAAAAAATTTTTTTGCATCACCCTAATGTCCATGTTATGTAGGTAATAAATGTACATACAATGTACATACAATGATGTCAAAATGAGCCTAGGAAAGAAAATTGTAGAAAAATTTTGGTTTACTTGTGTATTCTGAGTTATGTATACATTTGTTTATTCTAATCAAATTACAAACATTTAGGGTTTAGGATAAAAAAGGTTTAGACAGTGGCGGCTGGTGGATTTTGGGTATACCAATATCTCAGTTATTACTAATAACTTATTAGACATGAGGCCCATATAAAACATATTTGAGTTTATAATGACATTGAATAGACAATTTCTGCGCAAGCATAATTTAAATTAAAGTTTTTGCCAAAAAAAGTTATTTTTTTACAAAACAATTTTAACAATTAACAACAAATAAAACATTTCGTCACCTGAGAATTATAGTGTTCTATCTGCATTTTCTTTTTTTTATTCAGGTTAGTCTTGTTTTAAGTATTAAAGATGCATATTGTTCTATCTATATATAATTGGGGTAGAAATTGCACAGTTTAAGCCTTAAACTTTACAATTTCTACCCCAATTATATATAGATAGATCAATATCATCTTTAAGACTTAAAACAAGACTAACCTGAATAAAAAAAAGAAAATGCAGATAGAACACTATAATTCTCAGGTGACGATTTGTTATTTTTTAAGTGTAGTAGTGTATTTAGTATGGTAGCCGTTATCGACCGCAGGACTCCTAAATTAGACTTTGAACATTCTTCTTATTGTTTCTTGTATTGTGTCCATCTATGGATATCCTATGGACGTTCTTCTGGAACATCCTAAGGACATGGGAAAGCGTAAACTTCATGGACGTACATTCAAAGTCCATGGACGTATGTACTTAGTTTGGACCTTTAATGGACGTACAA